GGTTCGTGTTCTCTGGCTGCAGTTCACTGGTCTTTTGCATTTGGCTCTGGCTTTCCGGCCAGAAGCATGCATTTTTCTACAAGAGCATCACAACAACATGCTGTAAATATTTAAAGTTAAACCTTATGTGTCGATATTTGAAAGAAAAGTACTTTGAATATTTCATTTTTAAAAAATAAAACCGCAAATGAACGCCGCGTCCCATTTTATTCATGCGCCAAACCGCCAAGTCAACCTGCGGACTCCCTGAGTCAAAGAAAACCACCTCCTCTTAAAAATGTGGGTGCAGAAATCAAAACATCACCAATCCTCAGCCGACATCTCTTTTCATTTGTCCTTTTCACACGAATAGGATCTCTGACACAAAGGACCATCTAATAAACAAAGAGAAGTGCCGCACATTTTAAACGCCTCTAGGCTGTGACTATTTTATTTCAAAATCTTAAGGTACAAAGGTTTTTATCACAGTGGGTACGCTGTATAATTCTGAAGGCAGGGCTCTCAGTGTTTCCATCGCCATGACAGTGTTCCTTGCACCTGGAAAAGTTTTAATGCCTTACATCCCTCTCAATCTCCCCCTTCTTCGTGTCCAACGTTCTTTATGTCTCTCTGTGCCCGTGTGTACACATCCTTCAGCTCTGGATTACGAGTGAGACCATGCATTTGTTTTTCCATTTCTGAGATACTTTTACTTAGGATAATGGTCTCCTGTTCCATCCAAGTTGCTGCAAAAGACATTACTTCATTCCTTTTTATAGCTGAATAGTACTCTATAGTGTGTGTGGTATGTATGTGTGTGTGTGTGACATTTTCTTTAGCCACTCATGAATTAATGGGCACCCAGGTTGATTCCACATCTTTGCAATTATGAATTGTGCTGCCATAAACATTTGGGTGCAGGTGTCTTTGATAAATGATTTCTTTTCCTTTGGGTAGATACCGAGTAGTGGGGATTGCTGGATCAAATGGGAGGTCTACTTTTAGCTCTCTGAGGAATCTCCATCCTGCCTTCCTTAGAGGTTGTACTAGTTTGCAGTCCCTCCAACAGTATGGAAGTGTTACCTTTTCTCTGCATCCAGGTCAGCATCTGTTGGGTTTTCTTTTTTCTTTTTTTCTTTTTTTTTTTTTACTTTTTGTAATAATAATGGCAATTCTGACAGGGGTAAGGTGATGCATCATTCTGGTTTTAAAGTTCATTTGCCTGATGATTAGTGATAGTGAACATGTTTTCATGTGTTTCTTGGCCATCTGTCTATCATTTTTGGCCGGGCCAGGCTTGAACCCACGACCCCCGGTATATGGGGCCGGCTTCCTACTCCTTGAGTCACAGGTGCCACCCTTGCCTATTTTTTTCCTGCTGATTTGTTCGAGTTCTCTGTAGCTTCTGAATATGAGCCCTTTGTCAGATGTATAGTTTGCAAATATTTTCTCCCGTTCCACAGGTTGCTTGTTTACTCTGTTGATTATTTTCTTTGCTGTGTAGAAGCTTTTTTAATTTAAGTCTGATTTGTTTATTATTATTGTTGCCATATTTGCCCTTGGGATCTGAGGCATAAATTCTTTGCCTAAGCCTATGTCTAGAAGAGTTTTTCCTGTTTTCCTTTAGAATTTTGATGGTTTTATGCCTTAAAGTCTGTAATCTGACTTTTATACGGGCTTTGCTCTCCTTTTGGTGTCTTTCTCAGCAATAGAAAGAAAATTTTTAAATCACTGGGGAAAAAAAGGAAGGGCTAGGAGAGAGCGAGGAGAACAGGGCATCCAAATGCACTGCCCAGAAAATGGGTGTTGAGGTGGCAGTGGGGTGGGGGCAGGGAGCAATCATCAAAGACTGGGAAAAAAAAAAAAAAAACCTCTTCTGAGGCCCTAGATGCTAAGCAATTATAATCACTGCCATTTGGCACTTAATTTTCACAAGAGATATTTCCAAGTGACACTCAGAAATCTGGCCAAGAGATCTTCAAAAATTCAATCTGATAATGAAACTTGCTTGGAACCCGGGAATTTACATCACTTCAAAGAATTCTCTGCTGCTTTTTTATTCAATGACATATATACAGATACAGTGCAAAAATTCAGGGAGCAGAAAACCCTGATTGGCTCAACTTCTCAGAAAAAAAATCAATAAAGGAGACAGGGGTATTAGTGTCAATCACCCCAGGGACTTTTTTCAAAATATGCACCCCAACCCCACCCTCAAAGGATTACAAAAATAAGAGCAGGAACTCCTCCATTGAATTATTAAAAGACATAAGAGAGTTCTCCATATTCCTCTCCTATTCACCCTCACTTTTAGAGATCTTTGGATAGCAATTCTATTTAAACATTTAGTAAAATTACTACCTTAAAGTCACATAAGCCTTGTACGTTAATAATCCTGTAAGGTTAGTGAGACTGAGTCATTCCTGCCTGGCAAATGCAGTAACAGGAACAGACTGACTTACCTAAAGTCACACAGTTAATCAAAGCTGGAAAATAACTCAGGTCTCATGTGCTCCTTCTGAGTGTGCTACTGCCTTTTGTCACCTTGTGAGAAAACAATTCCATTTCCCGTGTGTGTGTGTCTGTGTATAATCAAGATATATATCTTTTCATTCCATATATGTTATGTTGATGGGCTCGACCCGGATGGTTGGTCAGGTTTGTTGTTCTTCTCCTTAAAAAGAAAATCTTCACTTAAGAAGCAAATGACTTAATGATAAGAATTCAGCCTTTTACTACAAGTTTGCCCAATGACCCCCAATTATGAAAGTATTTCAACTGGGCAGTTTAACTTCACCTGTAGCTGCGAACGGCAAAAATAATGGTATCCCATTTACTGCAAGGGCAACCATAGGTGTCAGAGTTGAGTGTATGGCACCCTAACAGGAAGAGCAGGCATCCCGTAACCTAGAAATGTTCAAGGGCAAAGCTGGGCTTTTTTATTAGTAGACTTTGGAATCAGAGCTCAATAAAGTGAATCAAATAAAAACATAAGCTGATGTTGAAACATTCTTAACGGATGTGAAAGCTGCTGCTCACATTTTTAGTTCTCCATCCTATCCCAAAGAATATCTTAAATCCAGGCCTTTATTTATAGCGGAGGACTTAATTAGACGTTTGGAGACTTATTCTACCTGTGCACTACCACAAAGGTTCCCTGCCTGAAACAGCAAAACAGTTACATAAGCTTGTCTCCCTATTGACGTTGTCTCTTAAGAACAAATTTCAGAGAAAATGAACAAGTATTTGACAAGCTGTCATGTTCTTTGTGGGCTTGCTGACATACTTTTTCTTCTGGAGTAGTGCACGCTTGGAAAGCTATGTGCATTTTTCTACCTTGACTCAGCATCTTACAGGTATATATTAAGCATAGCAGTATTTTAGGTTTGACAAGGATATGGCCTTTCTTATAGAAATGTAAGCCATTACATAATGGAAAATAGCAAAAAAGCTCATATTGTGAAAGAAAAAGTTAAAAAAAAAAAAAAAGAAAGAAACGTGATGAATGAAAGGCCAGCCAAAGAAGATAGAGTAGGCCCATCAACTGGGAACTTGGACAGCAGCAAAATCAGAAAAGCACTTACCTTTTTCCAGGGAATCTGTCCAATAAGATAGCCTTGACAAATGCTTTATTTGGTTTATTAATAGCATCTATCTCTGACTGTTTGAATAGGAATATTTCAAGACAAATCAGGTAAAGAAAATTTTCAAACACTTTATTTAAATGTGAAAGGCCATGAATGAGTCAAAAAAGCATTTTCCAAAAAAGTCTCTTGTAAAGGAACATGCAAACATAATTCACATGTTTAGGATTATTCCAGAATGAACACGTTAGAGTAAAAGTTAGTTAGACCTATTAAAAACTTTAAACTCAAGCTACACATAATTCAAAATTATTTAAACAGGCATTTAATTTTGAAAGTTGTCTTTCTGAATTCCTTTACAAGTCCTTTCTTACTTCAAGAAATGGTAAACCACCCACAATGAGTTACTATGCCCATGCTCCATCCTGGTACTCATATAGCAACCATGATAAATGCTCAAAATCAGATCTTACCAGCACACAGGGCATAAGCTCTGTCTCTTGGCAGTTCCCTGATTACTAACCAAGCTCACCAACACTTGTGTACAACCAAGAATTCCAGTGTATTAGCTTACAATGAAGCTGCGCCTTTTCCTATGGACCATGGCCCAGAGTATTTGTGTTGATTCATTTTGCCTGACAAGACCGATCTGCCTATACCTGGGGAACATCACATAAGTACTAATCAACTTTCATTATTGTTTTCTTGTCCAAAAACAGGTGAGCCCGCTGAGGGCAGGGACCAGGTGTTTTTACTTCTCTTCCCTCCGTGCCCAGTCACGCTTGTTGTGTGAATGAATTGTGTGAATCCTGAAGCAATGTGACATACAATCACAAAAGAAGTCATAAAAATATAAGTGCAGGAAGAAAATATTGCATGAAATTCTAACTCCCACTTGTTTCAATCACTTGGAATTGTTAAAAATTAATGTAACCATAAGCTTCCAAATGGTCTTACAGGGTTACCCAAAAGGCAGGATGTTTACAAATCAGTTATTCATGAGCTGCAGCTGCTGAAAATTCAAAATGAGGTTTCACCTGTTGTGGAAACAACTGGGGCAGAGGTAAATGAAAAAAAGAAAAATCCACTCCATTGGCTTTGAAATATAGTATTTCGAAGGCTGTACCATCAAATACAGTAAACATTCAGAGCATGTTTTAAATTATGGGATTTTAAACTCCAGATTGGTCTGTGGATTTTACTTCCCCACATCAGAACAGTAGGCAAGAAGGTCGCTTTCTTCATTCTTTATCTGGTACTTGTCTTAGCACACAATACACCGCTTCCTAAATCCCCAAAGAACCATAACTAGAGGAGAACTGCACGTGCTGAAGATGAGTGACTCCAACCAACTTCCCACCATGCAATCAAGCAAGACATCTGAAAATCAGTAACTACCAAATAATATTGCAGTAAAAATACAGCTTTTGACCAAAAAAAAAAAATGAATATTATTTTTATTCATGTTTGGCAAGAATTCACATTCATCTTTTATAAAGTATTCATTATGCTTTAAATTGTTTACCATGTGTAAATATAATAACCCCAAATGACCTATGGAATGATTTTTTTTCCCCATCCTCATTTCAAAGCTGCTCATTGTCTACAAAGTCCATTTCAGCTCTGACATCACGCTAGATGCTTCTATTACGGGACTACGATGGTTTCAGAAATGCATTTATGGTTCACTGACTGGATTATCTATACTATACAAAACTTAGCATATATTTAAATTATTGAAAATAAAATACAAGGTGTATTCCTTTTCTTCATGGTGCTTTCAGGCGGGCATCATGATCTTCTCTTGTCCCTAAAGAAAAATAATAACAAAAACCAAGAACAGATAAATTTACAAACTACTAAAATGACAGATGAACTCAAGCATAAAATGTCCAACTGCCTAGAACACACAATGATACAACACCACGATAGACCTCAAGTAACTATTATTTAAAACTGAGAATGGACAACTGGGCAGAGAAGAACAATTAGCCAACTTGTAAATAAGAGCTCTATTTATATTTCTATTGTAAAGGCTAACTATTCATGAATTCACCACTTGAGTCTAATTGTCAGTTTATGCCTGAGTCTGAGTCCTTGTCAAAAAATATATAACAACTCATCTTCTTTTATCATAAATGTCTATTGTTTCAATCAAGTCCTATCCTCTTACTCCAAACAAATGATAAACCCCTTTCAATAGAGGAGTAGACTGTCACACATCAGATCGCTGTAGACATTGGTTGGTATTCAGTCTCTAACAAGTCACATGCACTAAAATAGCTTTGCTCAGGAGATGTAACAATGTGTGCCAGTGAATAATAAAGTCTGAATGTAATTTCCTTTGTTACAGCAAAATTTCATTAATTTCAACACTGCCAGTTTAGAAATTAGAATCACGTGGGCCAGGTTAAGGTTAGCCTTTGCATCCCCGAAGGAAAAAGTTTACTAAGCAGAAGTAAAAGATAACTTATATGTTCTCTGAATTATACCATCCTTCAAAGTATTTCAGTCTGAATTAGTGAAGTGAAATGGTACTTAACTGTCTATAAACGAGACCAGAGAGAACAAGCTTATCCAGACAAAAGGGATTAAAAAGCGTTACGGGTTTATAGGATTTTTGATATTTTTGCATAGTTTTATTAAAAGTTTATAGTATAGCGGATTGAAATTATAGCATGCAGTCACCTCTCACTGCATTGGCTGGCTACATCTACATTCTCACTGCATTTTTCTTACAGAACTTCCAATTGATTATACGGTCATGAATAGGTTGATTCCTAACTCTGAGGTTCCAAAACCTTTCATACATGAAGAGTAAAGCGGCCTGTAGTACCTTGTGTACTTCTAGCTGAGGACTTCTTCTCAACAGGATACTGCAGAGGTATTACAATGCCTTGATCTGGCTTTTGAAACGCTGAAATGAGATTTTTTATTTTCCGGAAAAACCTTTTATGTACCCCAGGTGCTGTCTGGAAAATAAAAGGCCAAGCAAATTATTTACCTATCTCATAATGGGACAGAAAGTGCAAGGGATGCATCGAGAGGTAACATTTGGGTAACTTGTTCAAACATTTGAAAACCTAAGGAAGAAGGAAAAACAACATTCCTGAAGAGCTTACTTTGGTTGGCTGACTTTCCCCGCGAGAGGAGCTAATAAGCTGTCATTTCAGGTCCCCCAAGGGCGCCATTCATTTGTACTAGCTCTTGCTCACTGCCCTGCCCTTCCTTCCCTGCTACGCATCAGACACCCCAAACCTCTGAGAGTATCCAGGCCATTACCCACAATGAATTCCCCTACAGAGGGGACGCAGTTAAACACAGGAACAACACAGATCCTACAGGTCATTAATACAAAGCCTGAGGAACCAAAAAAAGAAAAAATCCTTCCTGTCATCATTCCCCAATACCAAATGCTACACAGGAAATTAAAAATTGGCTGTTAATCGGCTGTTACGATACACACAGTGCATGGCTAGTTAGTCTTCATGCTCTTTCATCTCACAAGATTTCCGGTCTCAGCCTCCACATTAAATGTTTTCCTCCTTGGAAAACTTCCCTATTCTCCCTCAAATCACTCTCTGCTTCACTGTGACAAGATTTCCTCTATGATATGAAAATGAAAAATTATATAAGGTCACCGTTATTTACTTACGTCTGGGTTTTTAATAGAGATCGTACTTGTAGGTGACTATTAAAATGCCTTCCTTTCCTGACATCAGTCGTCTTGCAAAGACATTGCCTGAAATCGACAACAATTTCCTGCAAAAGCTTATGAGCCAGGCTTTAGGCATCAGCCCCAAACTGTCATTTTACATAAACTATAATAGTACCGCTATGAGCAATTGAACAATGACTAGTATTTTTCAGAAAGTTGTTTTTCACCTATTCCATTCGGAAGATTTCTGAGGTGGGAGCTGTTTGGTTTTTAGCATTTAATGAGAAAACATGAAGACTGGCATGCAGACTTCAGTCAACGAGACACTGTGCTGGAGCTAACATACTGTCCATAGTGACTCTCAGTCTTTCCTTCGCTGGGTTGAGTAATTTTTCATTGAAAATACTATAAAAGTTCTTTTTAAATCTAAATTATCTATATAGAACATGCCCCCACACACACAGCTCCACCCCTATGGCTAAAACATCTTCCTTTTATTTTGGCTGGGGCTGGGTTTGAACCTGCCACCTCCGGCATATGGAGCCAGTGCCCTACTCCTTTGACCCACAGGCGCTGCCCAAACACCTTCCTAAAGCTCTGTTGATACCTCATTCAAAGTAACATTCTTTTAGAGGTCCAAACAGTTCTTTGGCTCCAGGATAGACTTTCCAAATTGCAAGGCAGACAATATGCACAAATTAGCTCCTTATGCCTTCCTTCAAGTACTTTTTCATTATCTTTTTTTTTTTTTGAGATAGATTCTCACTTTTTCACCCACAGTAGAGTGCCGTAGCATCACAGCTCACAGCAACCTCCAGCTCTTGGGCTTAGCTGATTCTCTTGCCTCAGCCTCCCGAGTAGCTGGGACACAGGTGCCCACCACAACGCCCAGCTATTTTTTTGTTGCAGTTTGGCTGGGGTCGGGTTTGAACCCCGCCACTTTCGGTATATGGGGCCAGCGCCCTACCCACTGAGCCACAGGCACCACCCACTTTTTCATTTTCAAAGCACTTTCCCCTTTCTTGCCCCCACTATTTCCTCACGTACTAGCAATTACTGGCTGATTTGGTTTTCCTACTTGACAGATAAGAGTATGTAAATGAAAAAAAAATAAATCCATCAGCTCGCCCAAGGTCACACAGACAACCAGAGGCAGAATTGGCTCTGTATTCCAAGACCCATTTTGCCTTTCAGATGATGACTGAACCAGACAGGCTCTAATGAAGCTCATGTGACCAACCAAAAGAGGAATTATACATTCCCCCAGTGCAGAAAGTTTTCAGACCACACATCTTTTTAGTTGTTTCTGTGGCTTGTGAAACCATTTATTGGCAGAAGCATCATTTCTATGGGGACTGATACGCAGTTAACACTTGACTATCCAAGCTAACAGACAGGAAAAAGAACACTGGATGGATGGAAACAATTTGAATTTAGGATGCCATGTTTCATAGCAAATGACTGACCTGATTTAGAGTGCTTTGCTTAGGTTAATACATAAAATTATTTAGCATCTGCTGATCTGCTGATGATCAAACACCCAGAAAAGCCCCACGGCACTAAAGTCAGCAGGGGAGGTCAGTACATGCCTTCAATGCACTGCCAGCGATACACATATCAAATGATAGCTGAACATATGGAGAATTCTTCGAATTAATGATTTAGCAAAATTTTTGCCTGAGTCACACAAATTAAGTGAATACACTATGATCTAATCTAAAAGTCTATCCAAAACTAGAAGTACCCATGATATTTCTCTTTCATAATTTGGTGGGGCCAGGTTCAATTTCATTCCACTTTTTAAAACAAATCTCAGACTTACGCAGATTTCTAGCACAGTCTTTGCACAGAGGATGGTGTGCTGTGCTCCCGCCCTGATTTTTCCTGCAGCATGGCAAACTAAAATGTTGTTCCAGGGTGGCACCTGTGGCTCAAAGGAGCAGGGCGCCGGCCCCATATGCCGGAGGTGGTGGATTCAAACCTAGCCCTGGCCAAAAACTGCATTAAAAAAAAATGTTGTTCCAAAAGGCATTATAAACACCTTCATTTACCCAATTTTGAAAACACATTTACCACAAGAATCGTATCCCTGACAACTCCCATCCTATTGCTGAATTCAGCTATTGTTCAAATTTGCACATTTCCCCTACTGTCATCCCTTAGTTACCCACGGAAAGGTCTGAGATCACAGCTGGTCTTCAAAATGCTCTAGCGAAATTTCTTCCAGTGAAGTGATGTAAGCTCTGAGATACAGACTAGTCTAACAGTCACCTTAGCAAAGCCTAAGTAGGTAGACAGAAATAATGCAATATGCATTTTAAAAATGAAAGAATTTTTGAACTCTTTTCTATTTAGGGATAGTTCGTGCCAACCTTCTGCTCTCTCGGTGCAGATAATTGCCATATTATTACATAAACAGAGTCATATCAGACAACAGGATGAGGGGACATGTAGGTTCAATAAGCCTTCCCCTCCTTAACACGACCACAAGCATCTAACAATCTGCATACGATGTTATCCTTGAAACAGGGAAAAGCAAGTTGAAAACCAAGGTTGCTAAACCCTAAGAACTTTATATTCTTTTCATAATGAATACTCTTCAGCAACTGAAGGATATTTCTCTAGGGAGAAGGCCTATTTCTGGTGAAATTATATACAGATACGTGTGTGTGTGTGTGTGTGTATAAATATATACACAACTATTCTTCATGATAAATTTAACTTCTTATTCAATCGTATCTGCAGTGATAACGAAAAAATTTTTAAATAGTTTTGATTAGAATGGTACTGTGAATTCTTTAGTTAATTCTACAGTTTTAATTATCCTGATATAAAGTAACAATGAGTTTGAAAACTTGCCCTAATTCATCTTAGTACTTCACAATGTTTGTAGTCTGTAATTTATACTTTCCAGTTTACTGCTGAATCAGTAAGGTTTAGAACTATTTTCATTTTGTAAGTCTAGACTTTAGAGTTTCTTGAAGGCATAGATTGATTGAATTGTTAATAGAAGCTAATATTAATATTTATGTTTTCAAAAGCCCATAATGAAGTATTTTCATTATAAAGAGAGACTGTTTAAAAACATCAACGACCAGAAAAAGCATTTGAGAGTAAAAGTTTCAGTCATAGAAACCTCTACAATTGATAAGACATAATAATATCATCCTGGTACAGACTCATTCTACAGGCATTTCTTACAATGGTACAGTGGCTTTCAGAAGTTTCAAAGCCAGGCTCGGCACCCATGGCTCAGCAGCTAGAGCGCCAGCCTCATACACCAGAGCTGGTAGATTTGAACCCAGCCTAGGCCTGCCAAACAACAATGACAACTACAACCAAAAAAAAAAAAATAGCCAGGCATTGCGGTGAGCACCTGTAGTCCCAGCTACTTGGGAGGCTGAGGCAAGAGAATCCCTTAAGCCCAAGAGTTAGAGGTTGCTGTGAGCTGTGACGCCATGGCACTTACCAAGGGTGACATAATGAGACTCTGTCTCAAAAAAAAAGTTTTCAAAGCCATAGAACCCTTTTTTTAAATAAAATCATATTCAGAGTCCCAGTATATAAGTAAAATAAAGGAAACTCTGCTCAGATTTAAGGTAGGTACCCAGAAACATATCCTCTTGCTTCTCCTCGTCCTCTCAACCTCCTCAAGTCCCCAGGTAGAAGAACGCTCCGAATCTGCAGATCACAGCTTTAAAAACACTGCTACACTTCCTCGTCTCCATTCCACCTACCCATGTCCTTCCCACACGGCCTCCTCACATAGAGCAACATTGATCACCCTAATGCTTGGGAAGCCCTCCCTCCTTTGAACCCCTGGTTGAGACCATTTACACTTCACTGTATACAATCACATTGTTGAGCAAGTTTCAAGAGTTCATATTTTTGAGTGCTCGCTATGTGCCAGGCACTGTGGCTAAGAGCTTCCTTACATGTATTATCTCTTTTATGCCTCCAAATAAGCCCTGTGGCTGAGGGATTATTTGTAGGTTAAGTTTACAGATGAAGAAACTGGTTGATAGAAAGTAATTTATTTGGTAAATAATTACCTATTTAATTATTTCACTGATTTTTTTTTTTTGCAGGGTTTTTTTTTTTTTTGTCTTCTGGCCGGGGCTGGGTTTGAACCCGCCACCTCCCATATGGGGCCGGTTCCCTACTCCTTTAAGCCACAGGTGCTGCCCTTTACACCTATTTTTTAAAATTTCACATAGGCACTAAAAGTTTGACACAGTCTTTCAACTTTCTTATCTTTCCCCAAAGCAATACCACTTTCCACAATGGTGGCTGGACAGTACTGGGACCAAAATTATCTAAAGGCTTCTTATTGATCTATGAACAATTTTGGATTACAGCTTTAGTGATTTAAATTTCATGACTTTTTTTTTTTTTTTTTTTTTTTTTGCAGTTTTTGGCCAGGGCTGGGTTTGAACCCGCCACCTCCGGCACATGGGGCTGGCGCCCCACTCCTTTGAGCCACAGGCGCCACCCCTAAATTTCATGACTATTTTAGTAATGTCTGATCCGACTGCTCTTTTTCCTTTTTTCTTTTCTTTTTTTTGGCCAGGGCCAGGTTTGAATCCACCACCTCCAATATACGGGGCTGGCGCCCTACTCCTCTGAGCCACAGGCGCCGCCCTGATCTGGCTGCTCTTTTCTAAAACCAGCCTTGAAACCCACAGAAATAAAAACAAATAAAAGAGCTATGTACCTCAGCACTCCAAGAACCTGTTTCTGTCTGGGACACTCGGTATGTATAAATGTAACCTTGATACCTGTGAAAGAATAAACTTCCATTACTGAAAGATTCCAAAAGAAGAATGAATGCACTAAATTTCAGTCTACTATTACATAGAACTGTTACATACACGGGAACACGTGTATATGGCACCATTGCATTCACAGGAAGCAAAGACCAGCAAATCTTAACTCGTTAGCTTTCTTATATTTGTCCAGTCACAGTTTCCAGTGAGACTTCTTTATCTTTTTAATGTGGGAGTTCACACTCCTAAGGATTTGTCTAGTGGAGAGTCTGCTAGGATAGAAACTAGGGATCTGTTGTAATTGGTAAAAGCCATGAATTATTAAATAGTTTGAACAAACTGTAAACTCGTTATTCTTACCTACACATCAAACCTTAAGGTAAAAATACCTCACTGGGACAAGACAGTATCAGACACATTGAAATAATTAGTAACATAATATTAATTATAAAAATAATATAATAGTAACATTAAAAGGCTATAATACTATAAGACTATAAGAACTATATCCTTATATTACTATTATATTATTATGTATAGTAATATAATATTACTACAGTGACATGTCACTTAATGACAGAGATAGCTTCTGAGAAATGTGTTGTTAGGTGAGTTCATCATGGAAACATCCTGCAGGGGTGTCCAACCATTTTTCTTTTCTGCTGAACATTGGGAAAAATAAGAGTTGTCTGAAAAAGAAACTATCTGTGCATATTTTTCACAGTATGTGACACAACAGATAAGCAAAATCAGTCCTCAAATAATCTGCATGCGGCCTGCAGACCACAGGTTGGACACACCTGTAACAAACCCAGATGGTACAGCCTATTATAAACCTAAGCTACATGGTGTAGCCTATGGCTCTTGGCATATAAACTTATACGCTTAGCATGCTGCTGTCCTGAGTGTTGCAGGCAACTGTAACACAATGGTAAGTATTTGTGCATCTAAACATATCAACATAAAGAAGGGGTACAGTAAAAATATGGAATAAAAGATAAAGAACGATATACCTGCTGAGGGCACTTACCAGGAACAGAGCTTGCGGCCCTGAAAGTTGCTCTGGGTGAGTCAGTGAGTGAGTGGGGAGTGAACGTGAAGGCCCCGGACATTACGGCACCCTACTATGGATTTCATAAACACTGTACACTTAGGTGACACTAAATTTATATTAAAAGCATTTTTGCTTTCTTGAATAATAAATTGACCTTAGCTTACCGTGACCTTTTTACTTTATAAACTTAATTTTCTAAAACATTTTGACTATTTTATAATAACACTTAGCTTAAAACACAAACACTTTGTATAGCTATATAAAAATATTTTCTTTCTTTATATCCTTCTTCTATAAGCTTTTTCTGGTTTTAAGACTATGACACAAACACACACATTAGCCTG